GAGCAGTGGCCGCCGGGGACAGAGGTTGGGTGAGGTGACAGAGCCTGTCACAGCTCCACCGTCCGGCTTCGTCACTGCTCCACGCCCCTCGCTCCGTCACGCCCTCTGCTCTGTCCCCATCTCATTCAACGCTTCGTCCCCCGCACCGTCACGGCACCACGCCCCGTCAGGCCCTCTGCTCCGTCCCCATCTCATTCAACGCTTCGTCCCCGCCCCCCGCTCAAAGAAAGCCAGCCCTGCTACTTGTCCGTAGCAGGGCTAAAACAGTGCAAAAACCACTTGCCCGGCGGCCGGAACTACGTGTCCCAGGCGATACGAATTCCACACCCCTCAAGAGCCAGCAGTCACTCAGGTAGGGGGCAGTCCACAAGCATGTCATCGTTGTGCTAGAGCAGAAAATTTGCAACCTAAACATCGCCATTACCAATATGAAAGTCGGACTCAGTGAGAGCAGCTTCCAACACAAGTCTCCCACTGCCAGCCTGCTCAGTGGCCAATCAGAATCAAGACATGTCTTGAGGATTTGAATGTATTTTTAAGGAGGTCTGTTAACACCACCTTTAATACAGACATTGTACCATAGTAGTAAAGGCCTCTCACTATAACTGCCAAGCTTAGGTTGTGATGTTCGGATGAAGCCTTTGTTACATTAGCAGTACAGAATAAAATCTAGGGGAAAAAAAGTATTCATACAATCTGGTCTGCGTGGTACTTCACCCAATAAGTTGACAAGAATCTACAACTGGGTCTTGTGAAGGCGGAAAACTGCACTTACCCATTGGGGTCTTTCTCCACCATTTTGAGCGCCTCCAGAGCCTGCAACACCTTCCTGGCCACACTCTTTGATCCACTGCTAAAGTGGCTTGGCATGACGCCATTGCGCTGGCGCCCACCATAGATTTTTGTCATGGATCCTACGCCAGCACCACCACGGAGGTACAAGTGACGAACAGTGGAAGCTGAAAGGAAAAAAAAAGTATCTGTTACATGCCTAAGAAATTCATTCATACCTGGGGGGTTATCTGAAGACCAAAGGAGAAAAAAAAACCAACACTATTACCAATATTCACACAGGAAAATAGATAATTACTAGGGATGTCCCGATACCACTTTTTCAAGACCAAGCACAAGTACTGTCCCTCCTGTACATGCCGATACCAATAACCGATACTTTTTCTTAAAAGGACGTGACATTTTTCCTTAAACAATACAGACTAATGATTTTAGGGCAGTTTCTCACCAGGGCAGCGTACATTGGAGGCGACAGGTTCTCTTTAAGGTGACATTATGGGGTCTTTTAGACCTCTAGCGTCACCTTTCTACTTCACTGGATTCACTGAACGTAAATACAGCAGGCAGTGGCTGGGAGCAATAGCCAACCTGCTATTGGATATTTTAAATTGCAATAGCCAATAGCAGGCTGGCTATTGTACGCGCCCACTGCGTGCTGTCAATCAGCAAAGGAAGGAACTGAAGACAAAGTTCTCCATCAGGTCCTCTCTGCTGATTGACAGCAGGCAATGGGCGGGTACAATAGCCAGCCTGCTATTGCAATTTAAAATATCCAATAGCAGGCTGGCTATTGTTACAAGTGTCAATTCCTTTTCCACTTGATGAAACGGTTTGCTTTTGGTGATGTATCTCAGTGACAGATGTCGGTGCTCCTTATGTGATAAATTTATAAAATCTGCACTTATGGGTGGAAATGGAGTGTAGTCAAAAACTGCTCCTTGTGTTCAATAATAATGCCCTCACCAGACGTACACAGAAGAAGTTTTCCCTCTAAATGAATGCTTCTCAAAGTTGGCCCTTCTGAAGTTTAGGGTTCTAGTCCTTCCAGTACACTTCCCTTTTCTGTGTTCAATATTAAAAGTAATCACATTGTGATCACTATTACCCAATGACTCCCCAATTACAATATCCTTGATTAACTCTGCATTATTAGTGACAATTAGATCTAAGATGGCATTTTTTCTGGTAGGAGTCTCCACCATCTGGTCCATGAAGTTGTCGCGCAACATGTTTAGAAATCGCCCCGCCTTTGCCGAACCCGAAGTTCCATTGGCCCAATTTATGTCTGGGTAATTGAAGTCACCCATCACGACTACATTGCCCTCTCTCCCAGCTATTCCTATCTGTGAGGAATAGCTGGGAGTACAAGTATCTGAAAATGCCATGTATCGGCCCAGATACCGGTACTAGCATCAGTATCAGGACATCGCTAATTAGTTTAAAGCAATTCCATTAAACCAGCAGTATTCCCTAAAGACCATTATAACTTAGTCGCTACACTCTCCCCTGCATTATTATAGCAATAATAGAGACCATCACTTCCCACTGAGGGCAAAGTGACAGGTTCTCTTGAGCAGACACCCTTCACCCGCTAAGAACTACTTTCCACAAGCTTACCTGCCATTCCATTCGCTTGCAAGTCCAATCGAAACCCTGAGTTAGCTCTGTACCAGAATGAAGGTGAGGTTAAAGGACTTTCTCCCCTCCCTCACTCGACAGTGGTTGGGCCTGACAATTGGCTTCACCATGAGTAAAGTAACAGACCCTCTTTATATATGCCATATACAGAGGTGGGGAGGGGGGAATCCATGTGTGGGGCAGCAACTGACAGTTACTGCTCTCCGCTGGGAGCAAAGTCAGAGGGCTGACTGAGCAGCTGCCATGTGATCAGTCAGCTCAGTCTCTGACAGCTGCTGGATCGCAAGTCGGTAAGTACAAGAATTGGGGAGAGTAGGTTGTAATGTCCCCATACTTCTTTACCTTGTAAATGTGACCTTGCAGCTGAGTTATGCTGCACTGGCTTGCTGGTGCTCTCTAGAAGGAAAGGTTCACAAAGGGCCAGTACACCATTACCTCTGCCCTGCATGAAGAGACTGTACTGCATTTCTCCAAAGCAGAACGCACACTGGAGATGTGACCAATGCTCAGCTTTAACCAAAACGTGTCTTCTATAAAGTCCTCTTACCAGTACGGGTGTAGAACCAGTTCTCGTCACAAGGTGCCAGTTCCTTGTGTTTGGCAAGTTTCACTGTGTCTACCCATTCCGGTACCTTAAGTTTCCCAGACCTACAAACAAACAAAAAAAAAGTTGCAATGTATATTTATAAAAAACCAAAAACATGAATTGTCCGTGTTATACAAAGTGCCAACTTCAATTTGTCATACAAGTTGCATGCGCTTCCACTACACGTTACATGCGCTTCCACTACAAAATAGAAGTCACCAGGACTCAATGATATGTGCAAGAAGTAAAGCAATTTTTATGAAATAGTCACATGCGTCATACAGCTGTTTCAGGGCCACGCAGGGTCCCTTCTTCCGGGTGACAGTGGCACTAAGTCACCCAAAAGGGACCCTGCGTGGCCCCGAAACATTGGCTGTATGACGCATGTGACTATTTCATAAAAATTGCTTTACTTCTTGCATTGAGTGCTGGTGACTTCTAGTGTGGACTGCATCTGACACGGCGCCATCCGTGTTGTCACTTCTAGCACCAACTTTTCATCAAGGTCTGTACGCTGTATGGAGTGCAGGTAATTTTGTATTATCTACTACAAGTTGCTTGCGCTTCTACTACACACAATAGACACTAGTGTGTACAGAAAGGTTGCGTTAGAAAAGTTGAAGCGGCCCAGCTCCGAATCCAGTGTCTGTTCTCCAACTTGCATTAGAAAAATGAGTGCTGACATCTGATTCGCCGTTGCCGACAATAAAAGGCCATTTCCCAATACAGACAGATAACATTCCGAACAATCTCTATACTGAGAGAATAGTTTTCCGTGAACAGAACTTACTTCTTGAGAAAAGCAGCCAGGGCCCTGACGAACTCCTGCTGGTTAACGTCTTTCACCGTTACTCCGGGCATCTGCAATGTAAAAAAAACCACACCCCATTATCAGTACGCTTGCAAATATTTTATCGAAGATAATTCCAAAGCCGAGCCTCTCAAGGGATGGAACCATCATTATTTCTACTTTAGAATTTTTTTAAGATGCATTTATAGAATTTTGTCATCATTTCAAACATAATAGAACAATAAACAGAGAAACAGTCATGTGCCTTTCTTTACTATAACCATACAGGGAATGGTAACAAACATTGAATCATACAATTAAAGAACCACCATGTCACAGGGGTCTTTGTAAGAGTCTTCCAGGAACCACACAGGGCTGAAGCTGTGTAGAGGTGAGAAGCCATTGGCCACTGGTTCAGATTTTTAGCTACTAGTGTAATTTGTCATCCTCCACTCTGCTACTGGACAATCAACATCCTCAGTTTCATCCAATGAGCAGACCAGCTGACACGGATGGTACCAGGATGGTACGTTCAGGCCTGAGCAGCCAACTGCCCGATATAAACACTAAGATATAAACACTAAGGAGGTTACTAACAAAACATATGGTGTGAAGCCAGACTCTGGCCGAGAAATGCAAGTACAAGTGCATTTTGGGGGAAGGTGGGTGTATGTATGGGTACTACTGCAGGATTAAGGTGCACATACACCTGCCGATTATCGTACGATAATCACGGGAAATCCCACGATCGTACGATAATCGGCAGGTGTATGGAAGGCGTGCGACCGTCTTTTGTCTCCTGAGCAGGCTTGAAAACCCGCCGAGTATCGTACGATTGTCGGCGGGTTAGTGGAGTTCTCGGGAGACAAATGCCGCAAGCGCACATTGTCCGTGCGGCATTGCAGTCATCGGAAAGCCCGCCCCACAGCGGGGCGGGCTTGCAATGATCGCAAGTGCGATCCGTCTTTCCAAGATGGGCAGATCGTGCGTTTTTTAAATTACCTTACAACCATCGCAAGACAAAAAGTCTTGCGATGGTTGTAAGGTGTATGGCCAGCTTTAGACTTGGGAGCAGCCATCGCAGTCCTGCCCTACCTCAAAGTCCGCCACTGGTGGCAGCGCCCTGCCCTACCTCAAAGTCCGCCACTGGTGGCAGCGCCCTGCCATACCCCAAAGTCCGCCACTGGTGGCAGTTGCAACCCCCTATGATGTCAGGCCACATTAGTCATCGCTGCCAAATGATCACATGTGCGTCATCCCAGGCGCCCAAAGCAACGTCACAGCATTCAAACTGAGGCTTGGCCCACATTAAACCCAGCCTTCCACCTACCATTGCCAGAAGTCCAGCTAACGCTGTCACACCGCCCCTCTGCCAGCCACCTGAACTACCCCAGAAGAGGATGACAGGGAAATAACGACTGGAGTCCTCAGGAGTTGATCCCCTGCAATAGGAGGGAGCCAAGGTCCAGGAAGCGTTTCAGGGGTACCTCTGACAAATGACAGCAAGACTTATGGCAACCACAACCCAGCAGTGGACCGCTGACCCAACGGCCATCAATTCAGGAAAGACAACAAATATTCGGAATATCTGGACAGTAGAAAACACAACCATTTAAACTGAGAGACGAGAGGGGTGGAGGGAGGGGAATGGGGAGTGTAAGGGGTTTGTGAAGATGTCTAATGGCGTTTCCTGTAGAGGAAGGAACCAATCGTCCCAGGTTGCTGTCTTGGAAGATGATTGGAGAAATATACACACATACGTCAGGAGGTAATGGCTGCTGAACCTGACCTAGTCAAGAATTAAAAGGAGCTGAAGTTTGAGGGTATTACAAAGAAATCCCTGCAATTGGGAGGAAGCCGTTTAAGGGCTCATTCTCATGGACACAAATACAGGTTTATGGACATATAGTGTAAAGTGAGTACCAGCGCACGCATGGCTACAAATGCCCACATGCAGAAGCTTTGCCATCATGAACGTCCACCCAAATACTTGCAAGTGTAAATGCATATTGTGCCCATAAAGTCCACTGGACACAAATGCAGCAGCTGGAGCTCCAGGGCGCCACACATTTTACATGTACACCCATAGGACCATGATTACATATGTGGGAATGAGCCCTAAACTGGTGACGGGCCACTATTACTGGCCCTTCCAGGGGACC